ATTTGATACTTGATTTCCTTCTACATGTTCTTTATGGTCACCACCTCTGAAAAGTTGAAATATCAAGGAACAGTTTTTTCTCTGTAGGTATGTTTTCCTGGAACCTAACCTCCAAAACCCCACACCCTTAATATGTGGTCCACAAAGGGCACACAAAGCAATCATTGCTGAGCCTGGGCCACAAAACAATGTCTGATCTAGCCCATGTTAGCAATTTAGTCCCTTAATCACAGCACCCAGGCTCCTTATCTACCCACACAAGAGCCTGTCAGAGCTCCACCCCTAGGAAGAAGGCTCACTCATTTGTTATCCAAAGGTTGAGTTCTCTTCAGTCACATAAGGATTCTACTTATTTCGATAACTTTTAAGTTCAAGTGGGAGAGTATGTTTTGAAAATGGAAGGGTTGACTAGCACAAACATCTCCTCTCTGATTTGATAACCTCTTCTGAAGAGTGAACCACATTTGGTACAAATCCACTCTTCACCCCTTCCCAACCCTCCTGGATTGTAATCTCCCCCCTTTTAACCAGCTCATATATGTCTCTTGTCAGGTCTGTGAAGGCTTTCTCCACATTAATGGCATCTCGGGCTGACGTCTCAATGTACTTCATGCCGTATGCAGCAGCCAGTTTCTCGGCCTCGTGGCGAGTCACTTGCCTCTGTGTATCCAGGTCACACTTGTGACCCACCAGAACAAATACAATTTGGTAGGGCTGAACGTGTACTTTGGTCTCTTCTAACCACTCATGGACATTCTGGAAGGACCTGCGGTTGGTAATGTCAAATAAGAGAAGACCACCTACTGAATTCCTGTAGTAGGCGCGAGTGATGGATCTAAAACACAAGAAAGAAGTAAAGAATAAAGTTCGTGCCCAAACTCCTTCACTCCAATGAACTCAGTGTATGCTAGTGTTCCTGATTACTGACAGTCCTTCAGTAAATATAAATGCCATTCTATAACAATAATGATAAATTTTCAATTGGCTAAAATGTTAAGATGGCCCTTCCTAGAAATGAATGGTCATAAAGTTTCAGGTGTTTTCCCTTGATCCAGCATGGAAAGAACCCTTAGGAGATGATTGAGTTCTATTTTCCACCACAGCTAACTCTCCCACTCCAAGTCTCAACAACTAAAACACAATTCCTCTTCTGCAAAATAAGACATCTGAGTTACAGAGTAACCATAAAGCAAAACAAAATAATAGGCAATAAAGTGTTTTTTTTTGACATGGCAAATTCATTGCAAGTGCTAGTAGTTTAAAAGAATTTTCAGGAATAAGATGATTTTATTATAATCAATAGAGATTATAAATATAATTGACAACAGCAGAAAAATATCTTGTAAAATATTTCATTTTTTCATTTCTTTGTTTCCATTATTGCTGTTTTTTTTTCAAGCAGGGGCCATCAGTCACTTTTGTGAAAAGAAAACACAATCTTGTTTTGTATTTCCTAAGCTACATGGGAATGGGAAAATGGGGATGGTACAATGTTCTGGGCCAGGGATGCAGAGATGGCTCAGTAGTTAAGAGCACTGACTGCTCTTCTAGAGGACTAGAACTTGATTTCTATCACCCACATGGTAGCTCACAACTGTCTTTAACTCCAGTTCCAGGGGATTTGACATACTCTTCTGGCCTCCATGGTCATCAGGCACTCACATGATTCATAGACACATATACAGCCAAAACACCCATACACATAAAATAAAATAGTAAATTTAAAAATGTTATGGAGAAAAATGCCTATCATCTCTACTCATTGACAAAATCCAAAGGGAGTGGCTGAGGAAGCACTAGCTGGGAGAATCTGCCAAAATAGTCAAAGCATTCCCATCAAGTTATATTATTTAATTTGATTCATGTAATTAGGTTATTTCTAAAGCCTACTTGTACATTTATTGTACTCAAACAGAAGAAACATCACATATTTTAATTTCCTGAGTTTAATACATATTATAAATATGTATTATGGTACTTTGCTTAAGAATATAGGAGCTTATGAAAGGATGTAGAACAATTTGCCCATATAATCACTTGCTTTAGACTACAATTTTTGAAATATATGTCTATTTTTAGGATTTCTGTCTTCTCAGATGGGTATGATAAATAATGAAGAGATCTATAGCTGAAAATTTAAGGGAAAATGGCCAAGTGTTAATGGTGAAATGTCTAGGGAGTTGCAGCCCAAGCTAAAGGATGGTATGGGTAGGCCTTACAAATGAGTTCAAGTTCTCCAGAACTAGGGAGATTAGCCCTGGGGAACAAAAATATTCCTAAGTCTTTTATGTTTGAAGATTCATGGAGAATGATAGTTATATCAGAAAATGTTCTATTTTGTGAAACTGTTGATTTGAGAAATCAATGAGCAATCTATCAAAGCTCTAGAATATATTTATGCATTAGTGGTTTATATTTAGCACAGAAAGTGTCAAAATATTTTAAGCATAACATAAAGCTACATAGAAGTAGAAATCTTCCCCAGATAAAAAGAAATCTTAACATTAAAAGATTAATGACAAACTGGGGAAATATTTTACAACATATATGACATAAAAGGGTTAATTTTTTTTTATTAGACAGAAGTCCAGGTTGGCCTTCAACTACTCATCATCCTCTTGCTTCAGCATTCAGAGGGCTGAATAAATGTGTGCCACCACTGTTGGTGTTGGGGTTATTATTTTTAATATGTAAAGAAGTCCTACAAATCAATACTGCATAATACATAATGAGTAGTAAGTATGAACAAGCTGTTCAAACAAAGACCCCAGCAAACATATACAAGATACTATTATTTATTTATGAGAACTTGTATAAAGTATTTGCCAAAGCTTTGTACAAGTGGTAAGTTAGAGGCAACTTAAGTTTGTATTTATTACCTGTATCCTTCTTCAACGACCTAACCAGTATCTTCTATGCTCAACTAATGTTCACTGGAGAATGAATAAAAGTTCATAAATACGGGGTATAGAGGTCTTTTGTTCTGGTTCCTGCTGCTCTACCATACTTTAGTTCAAACTGTTCTCTGCAAAGTTTTTATGTAATTTTGTTTCTGTCACTTCTGTTTTTATTCATGCTGTTTCCCATCTCTGGGCATTTCCTATCTTTGCTTGAGCTTCATCTTCTCCAGTTAAACTTCTCTCCTCTGTATCCATACATAAAATCACAAATACATACTAAAAGGAAGAACAAAGGATTGTGAGAGAAAAATAAACATACTCACTGATTACCCAATAAGTGCCCAGTGGTACAGTAGGGAGTGGCATATAAATACAAACAACAAAACACTCTTTTGTGTGTTGGCTCTGTATGTGTTTCTTCCGACCATACTAGTACTGAAGTTCCAAGAGGTCAGGGGCTCTGTCTATTTAAATTATATGGCATTCTCTTTGTGAGTAACATCACACTGTTTCCTCGGAAACAATTCTACTCTCTGGCAACTGAATGTATGGGGGTTCCAAGAGAGAATCAATTAATCAGTCTCTAGTTCCTTTATATTAGGGCATACTTCTCTCTCTCTCTCTCTCTCTCTCTCTCTCTCTCTCTCTCTCTCTCTCTCTCTCTCCTCTCTCTTTCAATATAAACAGAGATATAGCAAGAAGTCAATATATATCTATCTAGTTTATCTACTTACCTACCTACCTATAACTTCCAGTTACATTAAGATGACTGGGAAATATCTTTTTTTTAACTATGGAACATAGGCTCTGATTTTGATGAATTATATAGTAGTCAATTCCAGATGATTTATTGGCTATCAAAAAGCAGGTTGATGGAGTTGTGGTGCAAACAATGTGTTAATGAATGGCCTTCCCCTGCCTGGGCGGTTCTTTTCCTGCACTGAACTCCTAGCTAGCTTAAAGTGAGCTTGAGCAAAAGCCCCAGACCCTTGTTTGTCACCTGGGTGGCATCACGAAAAAGAACCAAGGAAGTCCTTTTTTCCCCAGGGACCGGATAAGCCCCAAAGACCCTCCCACTGCTCGCGCGGGCCCGTGCTGCACTCCCACCTGAACCTCTCTTGACCCGCTGTATCCCAGATCTGGAGCTTGATGCGTTTTCCTGGCTCGATCTCCACCAAGCGGGAGAAAAAATCTACCCCGACGGTGGGGTCTGAAACCTGAGCAAAGCGGCCCTCGGTGAAGCGGCGGATCAGGCAGGACTTGCCCACCGTGGAATCGCCGATGACAATGAGCCGGAACTGGTACAGCCAGATGGCCTCCATGGCCGTGGCCTGGCAGGACTCTTCGGCCCGGGCCTGGGGAGGCGGAAGGGGGCGCCCCACCAAGGCCTTAGCTCCGATCAGCCCTTATCTGGCTCAGCCGTGAGCTCATCACTGGCCTGGTAGACTGAAGCAAGGTAGGCCCAGGCGCTGGGGGAGCAGAGGGATGGATGCCGTGCTCGCAAAGGTGATGAAATGGCAGCAGCATCAGCACCACGCACTCTGACTCATCACCAAAAAACCGGGTTACTGTAATTCTTCGCGTAGATGCGACACTATCTCCACCACACTGTTTGTAAGAGGAGCGCATACAAAAACGTACAGGAAACTAGAGTATTCCCTTCTTAATTACATAAAATACTCTCTTAATTTAAATATTTCTCTGCATTAAAATTGCAAATACAATTCATTTTCATTAAATCTAGAAAAACAATACAAAAAAGTCCGTAATTAAATAATTGTCTACATGTTTCTATGCTCAAACCTGCAAAAATTATTATTCATGCATATTCATGTGCATTTATTACTATTTCTTTCTTAAAAAACAGAAAAAAATTTACTTTTAATTTGATACTTTTTGTGCAAATAACAAAGTATCATAGACATCTCTCCATTTCCAACTCATTTTTTAAAAACCATCCACACTGTTTTCCCTAATAGCTCTCCTAATTTAAACTGTAACCAACAGGGTGCAAGGGTTCCCCTTTCTCTACATCGGCACAGGCACTTGTTATCTTTAGTTTTGTTCTACCCCTCCCTCCCCTCCCCACTATGGAAGAATGTGAACTCAGTGCTCTCATTACCGCAAATCATTACCACAAATTATGCAGTTGAGTTTCCCTGCATTTGAGGAAATCACAGGGGGTCAGCACATCCTGAGTGCAGTTGATAAGCCTCATCTGGGTAGACCCCCATAGTGATCATGGTATCTCCTCTGCCATGTAAGTATCTCTTTATCTTTTTGATAATAGTACTTCCTATCTTGATGAGGTGATATTCTGTTGTGATTTGCGTTTTCTTCGTGATTAATGATATTGAATATTTTTCATATTCCTTTCATGACCATTTGCATACATTTTGAGACACATCTGTTGGATTTAATGCTTATTTTTGAGTAGTTTTTTTATTTTTCTACTGAGTTTTTGAAATTCCTCCTGTGTTTTGAATATCAACTCTTTGTCAGATGTATGCATTATAAATATTTTTTCTATTCTACATGCTGTCTTTGCACTCTGTTGAATGTTTCCTTTCTTATGAACACTTTTTAATTTTACATAACTGTTTTGTCTGTTTTTATTTTTATTTTCTGTTCTTTTGGAGGCTTTAAAGAAAAACATTGTTCACTGCAATATTCTGAAGCATTTTCCTTGTATTTTCTTCAAGGAGATTAATAATTTCACGTGCTTCATGTCAGTATTTAATACATCTCTGTAACATGTAAGGAACTGGAGACCAGCTTCATTCTTTTTCATTTGAATATCTAATATTTCAGCACTAGTTATTGGGAAAAAAAACTTTTTTTTCCCAGTGTGTGTCCTTACCATCTTTGTCAAAATCATTTGGCTTCAGATGCATGGGTTTACATCTCAGTTCTCTTTTGTTCTATTGCTATATGTGTTTGTATTTAAGACAATACCATGGTGTTTTAATCATTATAACTTTTCAAAGTCAGGTAGCATTACACTTCCTGCTTTGTTCCTTTTGCAAAAAGTTATTTGTCCTATTCTTTTTGTGGTTCCATATAAAATTTAGATATTTTTTGAAATTTGTGAAGAATGTCATTGGTATTTTAATTTTTTCTTTATGTGTATATGTTTATCTCTGAGAGTGAATGACACATGTGTGTATGTGCTCAAGGAGGCTGAAAGCTCCTTAGGAGCTGGAGTAACAGGCACCCAATGTGGGTTCTTGGAACTGAAATTCAAGTCCTTTGGGAGAGCAGCAAGTACTCTTAACCACTGGGTCATCTCTTCAGATACTTAGAATGGCATTAGTATTTTGATGAAGATTACATTCAATCTGTAAATCTCTTTGGTTAATGTAAACATTTTAACAATACTGATTCTTTCAATCCAGGAAGGTAAGATGGATTTCCGTGTGTTTTGTGTTCCGTATCAACTTCTTTCACTAATGTTTTATAATTTTCAGTTTAGAGCTCTTTTACCTAAATTTGTTACTAGGTATTTTACTTTGTGTAGATGTTGTAAATAAGATTTCTTTCTTGATTTCTATTTCAAGCAATTTACCATTAGTATGTGATAATTTTGATTGTCAATTAGATTGGGTTGAGAATTGCCTAGGAGATTAATGAAACATATTTTAGAGTAAGATTAATGAAACATATTTTAGAGTAAGTTAGAAGGGTATTTTCAGGCAGGGCTAACTAGGAGAAAAGCCAGCCCTGAATGCGGACAGTACTACTCAATGGTTGATGATAAACAGAAGATCTTCTAATAGAAAATTTCATCTCAATTGCTAAAGCTGAGGAGGTCACAGAGAAAGGGCATGGTAGGGAGCTCTCTGGGTCAGAAAAGGGCCATGAAGCCTCAAGACTTGTGGGCTTTGTGCCTTATTGTTTCCCATGGAAACCATTCTGAGGAAGTTCAGGAGAAAAGCATTTCAGAGCTTGCAACTTTTCCTGTTTAGGAACCAACCCACATAGTATGAGCTCTAATAATTTGTACCTTCTTTTAGAGGGAAGAACTTGCCCAAATGCTTCTTTGAGTCTTTCCAAAGTATTTTGAAAGCTGAATGAGATGGCTTCAAGTGCTTGTTTCTCAATGTCAAATGTATTGATTGGCTCTCATTCAGTTCAGCCATTTTCTGCAGTGTCTGGATGGTCCATCTTTGTGAGTTACAGGGTTTATGGATGCCTCTGTAAGTTATGTTTTTCTTGTGTACTGAATTTTAGCATCTGAGTGATGGAGATGATTGAAGAGCCCCATCCATCATTGAAGATTTTGCTTTTCTTCATTAGTTCTTCTTTACTGCTGCTTCAGCACAGGCTTTGTAGTGTTTTAGAGTGCTGCGAACAAATTATATATCATTTTGATATTTAAATCAATGAATTTAAACTACTGCATAATGATTGCTTTCAATTTGCCTTCACTTGAGAAAGATGATGTAATTAAAAATGTTCATTTGATCAGGTCTTAAAAAATGAACCCATACATTTGCACTATCTCCCTATGAAATAAATTAATTCTCTTGAGATTTTTATTATTTATTGTGGTGCTACTTACCAAATACAAGGACTTACATATCCTAGGCACTCTACCACTGGCCTACAACCCTAGCACATTTTGACCTTTAAAACCATTGGAAGAAGCTATCAATTGTGACTAAGAAAATGATTTTCCTACTATTCTCATATCATCCTTTCTTTAAACTTTCTTCCATTTTTATACTTCTTTTGTTATCTTTATCCTTACATCTACTTTCCACTCCCATGTCAAGAATGCTGCTAAATGTGAGAATAAAACATTAAATAACTAAAAAAAAGAAAGGAAGAAAGAAAGAAAGAAAGAAAGAAAGAAAGAAAGAAAGAAAGAAAGGAAGGAAGGAAGAAAGAAAGAAAATTTCATCTCTTCTCTGTCTCCTCACATTCCCCTTCTCCTCTTCTCTTCTCATCTCTTTTCTCTCTAATTTTCCTGGTCATTTCAATGTGATGTGAGCTGCTCTGCACTGCCACCCCACCCCCAACATGATGGAATGGAGAAACTTCTGTAACTATGAGACAGAATAAATCTTTCCTCCCCCTTTTCTTCCATCAGATAGTTGTTAAAGCACTGAAAAGTGTGACTAACACTATATAACAACACTACCATTTTTGTATACTGATTTTATATCCTACAACTGTAGGATATAAACAGCTTATTGGAGGTTCCTTGTTTGTGTATCCTGCTTTTGGTGTAAACAGCTAGGATGCAAGAATGTAAAACATCTGTAGAGAACTTCTGCCCTCCAGGGTTCTCCCACTGTGCTATAAGCCTGTATTTAAGGCCTCCTCCCTCCTTTAATAAACGGCATTCGGCATTCTACTGAGATGAATGACCCACTGTCTTGTCTCTGTTTTTAATCCTCAGCCCCTCACTGGGACATGGTGAACATGGTAGTGCGGGTGCTACATACAACTTTGATGAATTCGCCGGTAGCGCACGCCTTTAATCCCAGCACTCGGGAGGCAGAGGCAGGCGGATCTCTGTGAGTTCGAGGCCAGCCTGGACTACCAAGTGAGTTCCAGGAAAGGTGCAAAGCTACACAGAAAAACCCTGTCTCGAAAAAAACAAACAAACAAAAAAAAAACTTTGATGAATTCATTTATTGCTTATTGGATGACACCCCCTATTCCTGATTGATCTGGCTAGGCCTTCAAGCACTATGCTGAATAAAAGTGAAAGTAGGTATTTTTGTTTTGTTCCAGGTCTCATAAAGAAAGCTTTCAACTTTTTTCCAATTCAATGTAATATTAACTGTTGGCTTGTTCTAAAATGGCCCTAATCATGTTAAAGTATATTACTTGTATACCTAATTTGTTCAACAGTTTTATAATGAAGATGTTGAATTTTATTGGGTAACTTTTCAATTGAGATGAGCATGTAGTTTTTTATTTTCAATCTGTGGATGTTATTTTTGTGTTCATTGATCTGTATATATTGGACCCTCCTTGCATTTTTGGATGAATCCTATTTAGTTATGGTGAATAATCTTTAAATTCAGTCCACAAGGCTGGATGTCTCAGCTGGTCTTCAGTATATACCAGAATCCCAAAGAAGTAGGCTCCAATACCAGTAAATGAATGGACTTGCTATCTAGAGTAAGGGCAAGCAGAAAAAGGACAAAGAATTTCCTTCTTCTATATCCTCTATATAAGTGTGGCCCAGATTAAATGTGGATCTTCCCACCTCAAAAGATACAGTTTCAAGGTGGGTTTTCTTATTTCAAATTATTTAATTAAAAAAATCCCTCACAGGTGTTCCCAGATGTTTAGATTTTAGTTAATTCCAGATGTAGTCAAATTGACACCAAGAATAGGCATCACACCTTCATTGAGTTCCTTCCATGCTCCCCCACTCTCAAAGTTGTAGCCTCTTTTGTTATTATTGTTACACATATACAAATACAACTTGCTTAGTCCATTTTTGTTGTTTGTGTTTATGATTTCAGGTCTGACCACTTTATGTTGGATAAACAACAAGAAGGCTCAGTCCTGGGAGAAGCTAGTTCTTCCATGCCCAGCAGTCATTAGTTGTCTATAGTTCTTTGTCTAAAGGTGCGATGCCACGAAAATTTCCTCCTTCCAAATTAGGATGTCTATTGATATTATCACTGTTCTATTCATGTTTATGCAGCCAATTGTAGGAGAGTCTGTTCTACATTAGACTTCCTAGTATTCTGGCAGTTTTTTTTGTTCGCTTGTTTTTTTTTAAGGTTTCTGGTAATCTATATTTTTAAAAAATTAATATACTTTTTATTTAATATTTTATACAATATTTATTTGTCATATTTTTTCCTTCCCCAGATCCTCCCCACCTCCCCAACCAACTTCAGCATCTCCCCCACTCTGTCTCCAAAACAAAATAAAAATTCAAAACAAACAAAAACCCTAAACAAAGAAACTGAGAAACAAAACACCCAATAAGACAAAAAATACCAAAGCAAAATAAAAGCACACCAAAAGCCATGGAGTGCGTTTTGTTTTGGCCAAATTCTCTTTGGCATGGATCCTTCCCTGGAGTATGGTTGATATACCCAGTGACATTCCATTGGAGACAACTAATTTTCCTTTCCCAGCAGGTATCAATTGCAAACACCTTCTTGGTTAGGCATGGAACTTTGTTTCATGTCCCCTTCTCAGTGCTGAGATTTTGTCTACTTTGAACTCATGCAGGTTTTGTTCATGCTGTAGCAGTTGGTATATATGAGTTCGTATATATGTATATACATATG